TTTTTTTCTGCCAAAACTTGTAGAGCTTCTCCAACAGTTAGTTTACTCTGACTTACCAAGGCTGCTAATACTCTAGATTTGTGGCTTTTGTAGCCGACCCTGAGTATTTGCTGCACTGATACTTATTTATTTATTTTGGAGCTTTTGATGCTGATGAAGTCCTGAGGCAGTCAAAAGAAATTGACTGCTCCCTAGTCTGGGTAGTCCAAAGCCTGACGGGTAGGGAGAGCAGTCCCACTAAAAAGAGGGGTGAAGTGTGTGCAAAGAACCCCCCTTCTGTGGATGTTGGGGTGGATTTTGTGGCTAGAATTGTCAGAGGAGCATGAAGGGCTGGGCTTTTGAGAGTGAGGCACCTCATTTCTTTATGGTTCAGTTAAAAATGGAACCTGCCTTCACTACTGCAACATGCCAAACACTTAGATAAGCCTTTTTATGTAGTTTCATGCAGTTCCCATTGAATCTGGAGTTTGTTCATGTGGGAATGTTCAGAGATTGAAGGAGCTTTCCTCTTGGTGGCAGGGAATGATGTTTGGGTTGGAGCTTGGGTTTTGAGGCAGTCACAGCTTAACTGGAGTTGGCTCCAGCTCCCCAGGCCTTGGCTCAAGAGCAAAAATAAATTTGGTCAGATCTGGCTGGTGTTCCGCATCCAGGAAACACCTGCCCAGCTCAGGGTGCTGTGTTTGGGTTGGCAGAGATGCCCTCCAACTGGCTTGTTCTGAGCTGAGGAATCAGCAGAGTTGCAAAGCAACACGGGCAGTGACTTTTGCACAGGTGGCACTGACCTGTTCCAGATCTTACTGATGCAGTCAGGTTCTTGGCAGCGAATACCGGCCTCCTCCAAGTACACAGCAGGGTTTGTTTTTAGTGGTGGGGCATCAGTGCTGCAAGGGCTCTTGCCATTGCTGCTCTTGGCTGACATTCGAATGTCCCAAGCAGAGTGAGCCTTGGTGCATTAACACCCTGTGTGAAGCCCTGCTGATCTCCCCAGGCCCCTCCTGGCCGAGCTCAGAGGTTCTGTGATGGAGCTCCCAGCTCTACTTGTGCCAGACAGATAGGTGTGGTGCAGAAGAGCCTGGGGAGGGTTGGCTGAAGGCTGCCAGGGCTGCAGGACAAGCCCCAGAGAACTGCTTTGTTCTCGCTGTGCTGTGGCCTGTACTTTGTGTGATGTCCACAGGTGCTACCCTTGTAATTTTAGCCCATGCAAAATATATGCTCATCTACACTCAGTCTGGGTTGCTGCATGGAGCAGAGCAGGTGGAGGGTGTGCAGGAATTCAGACTGGCGGATGGATGAACTGTCTTCCTTCCAGATCCCTCCTAGTCCCACTGGTTCATTGTAAACTCTTAAAACAGCCCCTGGATTTATCTGTGAATAGGTCAGTGTGAGATATTTTGCACCAAACCAAGGTCCTTATTAGTTTAGGTTAGCTTTTACCAGATATGGCTAGTATATTTTTAATCTACAAAGAGGCAGAGAAAAAGATAAAATAAATAAAAAACCTCTTAAAATGGCAGTGCATCTTATCTCACTGCTCTATGTGTCTAGTTCAGCCTTAATCCTTCCTACGAATGTGAAATTGCTTATGTGCATAAGCAAAGCAGCCTGCAGTCTCTCTGCTGGGTAGATCAAGAGAAAGGGAAGGGAAATTGCTGGTGTGATTTCAGATGTACTTTATGATATGATCTACAACAGGAAATTTCCAGTGCCTTTTTTAGGCATCAGACCCTGGGAGGTGCTTCCCCAGCTGTGAGCGGCGTGTCTGGTGCAGTGTAGAAGGGGAATTGTAGTAGCCAACACGCTGAAAATCAGTGGGAAACCCTGAAGTGGGAAGTGATCCTCAAGCCCAGCCTTGCTCACTCTGAGATGAGCACCTGTGGGGAAACCCATGGGGTCTGGGTCTGATTCTGTTCCCAGGTTGACTTTGTTCTCCCTGTCTCAGCTGATGCCTTAGCTCTTCTGAAGAGGCTCCTCCCAGGAGGGCAGGGACAGGCCCCTTCTGGGACAGGAATTAGGAGTTGGTGCTAGGTGATCCGAGAGCTGCCATGGTTTGTGCTTCTCACTTCCATGCTTTTGGACCCTCATCTGTCTGTGTGAAGAGTAATAGATATAAAGGGAATATTTTCAAATGAATATCAATTTAAAAATAGCCATGGCTAGAGAGAAGCGCAGTACCCAGCACAGAGAGAACTGAAGCAACCTGAGAATTGGGCTGGCTCTCCGCTTGGCCTCCCGCTGCGGCCCCGCGCGGGCAGCGGAGCGGGGGGGGCGCAGGGCCGGGCGCTGCGTTCGAGGCCCCCCGCCAGCGCTGCCCGCCCAGATTGACTTGATTTGCTGAGCTGTGCTAGTTAATTAACAGGCCTGCTCAGCAGTTCTGACCTCCGATCTTGTGAGAGTGGATCCCATTAAAAAAGATGTGGGCCGCTTCAAGATGTAGTTGTTCTTGTCATTTTGACAGCCCCTCTGGATAACTGTATCTGCACATCCGCAGGCTTTTCCTTAACGCTGCCAGCAGAAGTGCCACAAACCTAAAGTGTGTCAGAATTGGGATGAGGAAGGACGAGCAATCCTCAATTTCCTCTTATCAAACTATAATCTGGTGATTTCTGGTGCAATCTTGGTTTGAGCAGGCAAGGAAGAAGCAAAAGGATCAGCATGAAAGTCCTAAGGGCGCAAAGATTTTATAGTTTCACCACCTTGACAGCTTTCTTTTAATGTCATTGTTGTGGAAAAGAAAGTCATAAATTCCGGTGAGGGGACTTCAGTGGAGATGGTGAATTTTACAGATGTGATGTGCGGATTGCTCCGGTCTCCAAGATCAAGGAGTGCTCCTGGTTTCTCTTCCTTTCACACTGCAGCTTCAAAGGCAACGTTTGTTTGTTGCCCAAAGGGGAGGCTGAATGTGAAATAAACATCCGCAATCTCTGAAACGCTTCAGTATTTACAGAAGTCTGTGGGAGAAAAGTGCTGCAGTTTTTTTTTTTTTACACACAGAAAAGGCATTTGGACATAAATGCAGTATAATCACAGATGATTGAATGTTCCCGTGGAGTAGAGTTCAGGCTTTTTTAACTCATTTATTTCTCTGCAGCGTCCTTTAGGAGAAAAGCCTTATCAAAGTATTTGTCATCAGCTGATTTCTTTCTTTTCTTTTTTTTTTTCCTCTGCTGCTATAAATAATTGCTGCCTCTTTTGTTTCCAGAGCGAGTACATTGCACCCTGTGATTGCAGACGCGCATTCATCTCTGGATTTGATGGCTCTGCAGGTATCTTTCCAGAACTTGGGTTCTTGCTGCTGTGCATAATTCCTTCGTAAAGAAAAGGTCCCTTTCATGGCACAGATGTAGGATGGAAAAGGAAACCTACCCGCCTTGCTTGGTCTGTTCTCATTTCGGCATCTGCAAAGTTATGTCTTGGCTACCCACTGGAATTATGTAATATCAGTGCAATAACAAGTTTTCAGAAAATGTTTGACCCCTGAATGAACCTCTCATGAAGTGAAATACTGTTAACTGTTTGAAGTGATGCTTGTAGCCTATGCTCATTTCTTCTGATGTGGACACAGAATGATCAGCTTTTACATTGCCCATTTGGGTTGGGGTGAATAGCAGATGGCTTTAGCAAGCCCTTTTGTTTAAATGGAGACTGGGCCAGAAAGACTGCGTTTGAAAGCTGAACTCTGTGGAAAATGTTTGCTTATCTTGCAGAGACAGGATGTTTTCTTGGCTGTAGGAGAGGTCCATGTGTCAAGAGACCTCTCTTTTACCCTAGCTGTACCCTAAGCTCTGCAACTGACTCTTCTGTGTGAATTTTGGCCAGTCACTTTAGTCTTTTAGGTTTTTCCATTCCCCCTGTTGTAAACTGGGTTAAGTTCTGCCATCTCTGTTTGGAGGGTCTATTCAGCTCCTAGGGGCTGCGCTGGGACTCCACATGGAAGATGATAAATTCTAGGCTGCAGATTGCTGTTAATGGATAACATGAATCCTGTATTAATTTCATGCCTTCTGCATGGCCTCTTCATAACCTTGGTCTCTATTTTGGGATCTCATTCTGTACTTGGAAGGTCTGTGTTACCAGTCCAGCACTTAGTGAGTCAGTGAGGCTTCATACAGGGGCTCTCCTTGTGTTTCCTGGTGGAAAACACTTTTGTTTCATGTCTCCCGTGCTCAAGCAGTTTAAAATTGGTGTTTGTGGTGAGTGTCTAGAACGGAATTAATTCACATTTGGAAACTGGTCTGCTAAGCTGAGCTTCAGTCTCTGGATGTAGGTGACAGAAAAGATGGTCAAGATGCAGAAGCTCAAAGACCAGGATTCAGTCTGTTTGTGCCCTGACTTTCTTGAATAGTGAAGGGCAAAGCACTGAGAGGTTTATGTTGATATTTCCCGTTCAGCCCTCTGTGCTACAGCTGTAACACTTGGAGAGGGGTACAGTCGATGGCTGGTGCTGACACCCCATGTCTGCTGACCTAGTAACAGCTCTGGGTGACTAGGGTTTGGGCTTCTTCTGTTTAAGAGGATGGGATGGTGTCTGGTTGTGTCCAATGTGCATTAGTATGGCAACAATCAAGTGACAACCATGGTCTCTAGGAGTTTGGAAAGTCTTCTGTGAGTTGCAGCTACTGGCTTAGCTCTACTCCAGTTGAACTCGTCTGAGGCAGTTCATTAAGCTGAGCCCTCATGCGGTGTCCATAGTGGGATTTGAAAGGTTGTAGTGTAGGAGAAATAGTGAATATTTCCACTAAAACTTGAGTAGCATCTGACCAATTAGCAGAGCTGCCTCCTGGGGAACTCAGGTGTTTCAAACACCCCCGCTGCTGTCTGTGTCCCTGCGTGATGGCTCTCTGCCTCTCACCACGTCTCTGCTTTCCTGCTCAGGTACTGCCATTGTAACCGAACAACACGCAGCCCTGTGGACGGATGGCCGGTACTTCCTGCAGGCTGCGCAGCAGATGGATAACAACTGGACACTCATGAAAATGGGTATGCACGAGGCTCTGCTTACACGCACACAGCAGTGACAGGCTACGGGGTTGCTTTTCACGTGGCACAGCTTGGGCTGTGGGAACACTCTATCATGAGGGGTTTAGGAACATCTCAGCTACAGTACTGCCCCTGCTTTAAGATTCGGCAGTGCTTCTTGCCCACGAGTGTGGACCTGCATTAGTAGATGTGTCTGAAGCGTTGGCTTGGACTTGACATTTTGGCTAATGTGGGAGCACTTTCATATGGCTGCTTCACTGAACCTCTCTTACCCGTGCAGGTCTGAAAGACACGCCGACACAGGAGGACTGGCTAGTGAGCGTCCTCCCAGAAGGCTCGAAGGTGGGAGTGGACCCTTTCATTATTCCGGCTGGTTGGTGTAACTTTATTGTATAACTCTGGGTGGGCAACTGCATTTTACTTCCTTACATCCCTGACCATGCTGTGGAGTGATGCTGTACAGCTAAAAGTTGCCATGTTTCAGCCCAGAGGTGATGGAGAGTGAATCAGTTTGGAGGTGCTTTATTTAGACTCATGTCGTGAGAGCTCCACAGGCTTATGGCTGTGTGGAGGTCCACACTAGCCCTCGCCTGACTTAGATGCAGTGGTTCTGAGTTGCCCTGGGATGGATGATGTCCTTATGGCAGCCTCTGGAGAGTCGTCTTGCAGTAATTTCTGTCCTCCTACTGGGACGGTCTCTCTTCTACTCTGGTATGAGGCTCCAGGGCTGCAAGGAGTTGGGTTCTGTACCTGCTGCCAGCTGTGGTGGCTGCAATTGTGGCTTTGTAGTTGCAATAGCTTTTTGCTTGTTATTAAGAGAATGGAAAGGAGGAATGTCTGAGAAGAAAGGAGGGGCCTCAGATTCTTGAAGTTTTCCTTCATAACTAGGGCTGTTCAGCAAATGTGTTCTTTAAAGCCTCCGCTGTTGACTCTTTTCCCTTTGGCAGACCAGTGGAAGAGGATGTCCAAAGCCCTGAAAAGTGCTGGCCACGATCTTGTGCCTGTCAAAGAAAACCTGATCGATACAATCTGGGTAGACTGTCCCCAGCGGCCCTGCAAGCCGCTTATCACACTGGACCTGAGTTACACAGGTGAGAAGCTTGAGTCACGAGAATCAAGAGAAATTTACTGCCCTTTCCCTTTTGCTTTCCCATTACAAAGTAGTGTGGAAAAACATTACTACAGCCCAACAAGATCCACTGTTTTTCAGTCTAGAAGGTGATCGTACCTCAGCTAATGACCCTTCTGTCCTCAGGTTCAAATAGCCATTTTCTGGAGGCTAGATAGCTTCAGAACAGTCCGTGCTCCTCTTGGAGAGGGGGAAGCTTGTTTGAGATGGTTCATATCAGTCATTAGGCAGGAGTGAGGAGCATAAACCAAGCACACTGTCTTTGAACACCTCCAGAATCCAATGCATCAGTCTATGCTTCCATCAGTATTCCTGTAGAGTTGGTGACTGTAACTGTGTTGTGTTTTGCAGGGGTCAGCTGGAGAGACAAAATTGTAGTCCTCCGTTCAAAAATGGCTGAGAGGAAAGTTCTGTGGTTTGTGGTAACAGCCTTGGATGAAGTAGCATGTAAGTCTTTGCAGTTGGCCTGGGTTGTTGCATCTCCCTTCTCAGTTTTTCCTCCAAATGAACTTCCTGCCTGCGAAAGAAAGAACCCTGCCAGGATGAGATGATCACTACAGCCAATGTATTTGTTAGAGATCAAGTGCAGTCAAGAAATCGGGTCACAAGCAATGCCTGTATTTCTGTGCAGTGCCTTTTTACACCGATGGAGCTCTTGGATACATTTTTGGCTCGGGATGTGCAACAAATCACCACCTTTGAAAAACAGCCCAGGCAAAGGGAAAGGAAGGTCATGTATAAAACCTGAGGCAGTTGGAGTGTGAGTGTATGTGTGTATGTGTGGAGGGGGAAACAGATTTTCTGGATGTAGAAGATCTTGATACTGCCTCACTCTGTGGCATGATGAAGACTTTCTGCCGTGGAGGCTGGGTTATAAACAAAGCAGTGCAACTTGTGGCCCTGGGTACATGAGTCGAGGGTGGGACATGCAGTATTCGGGCCGCGTCATCATTTTCATGCCTTTCAGAAACAATCTTTACCTCTTCAGTGTTTGGCAAATGCTTGGGGAAGAACAAGTCAGTCGGGCCTCAGTTCGTGTTTCCAGATCGCTTCAGCCCAGCAGAGAGGCTGATTCGAGGGCCTGGCTGGAGAGTCCCTGTGCCTGGGGCCCGGGTCTGCGCTGGCTCCCTGCCCAGTGTGTAGGAAGGGAGTGTAGCCCGAAAACGCAGTGGTTCCTTGGGGTGGTTGTTACTGGTTTTGTGTATCGATGCTTCTGAGGGGTTCCTGTTGGTTAAAGGTAGCAAAAGTCACCAAGGCCCAGAGCGGGGGGACAGGAGGAGTGCCGGCACTGGCCCCACGTCTGGGCCAAAATGGTAGCTGTGACGGTTGGATGTTTTTAGCTTTGGCACAGCCAGCGTGGAGCCTCCAATGTGGGGAGACGCCGTCTTGCAGAGGCCTGCAGGCTCTCCTGGATCTGGGACACTGAGCACAGGACTTGCCTCATGAAACGAGCGCTTCCGAGAGCAGCGAACACGATTCCTCCCTGGGGAGGCTTGCGTGAGCAGAGACTCTGTCTTACCTTTTCAGGCACATCTCCAATTAAATTAATGATAAATTGCTGCCCCGAGGTGGTTTCAGATTAAATGTCTCTGGCAAAGCCAAGCTTGGTTATGAATCAAGGGTTTAAGACGGACCCGAAGAGGTCATGAGAGGAACTTACTGCCAAGTACCTGGTAGATTTTCTTAAGTTGAGGACAGACACTTTAATTTTATCTAATTAAATTTACTACATTAAACTCCAGGCGAGCTTCTGGAAGCAGAATTAGAGGGCCGCAAAACAAGGCAGTTGTCTCCTTGCTGCATTGGGAAATGGATGAGTGAAGAAGTTTGTACCCATGCAGTAAAGAGTTCTTTGTGGCTCTTTCCTGCTTTTAAGTGACCTACTCCTTCCCTAGGGAGGATCAAACTCTATTTTTACTTTGTGGCAGAATCTGCACAGTTTGAATGCGGTGCTGGTTGTGATTTAGGGCATGCTGGTGCTTTTCCCAGCTGTCCTGCTGGCTGGCCTTATTGCCTCCAGTAACTCATTTCAGCTAATTGGATACCCTGGGGCTTTTATTTGACCCCAAAGTCAGAAGTTTAGGGATTCTGAACATATACTTTTCCTCTTGACTTTGTCTGGAGTTGTGAGAGAAAATATTTGGGGAGAAAAATGAAATTCTGAAGTCCATGCCTGATATGTTGGAGGCATCCAAATTGGATGCCTTTCTGGAATATTTTGGTCTTGCCTATTGTGCCTCCTTTCTCTCAAGTATCAAGAGAAGGAAGGATTAGGTGAAGTCTTATCTTCTTTTGTAACTGTAAAGCTTTCTGTCTGTTGAAGTGAACTCTTATCACACTGCACAGACTGGAAAGGGCAAATACTTTTTTATTTATTTTTAGCAAGTCCCTATCTTTTTTTGACAATATCTTCTTTTTTCCAAGCCAGGCCCTTCCTTGGGAAGTTGGACCCTGATTTCCTGCCTGGATGGCAGTGTTCAAACTGCAGTTCTGGTGCCATCTCCTGGCGAAAGCTCAGGATTGCCTGAAAGGCAGCAGGATGTGGGACAGCTGGGTGGGAGCTGGATCTTTGGCCTGCACCCTTACCGGCTAATTGCTTGATTATGTTTTGCTGAGCTTATTTTGTTATCTTGCTCTAGTGTTACAAAGGATAAACCAGGACCCCACTCCTTGACATTCTTCTTTTCCAGGGCTCTTCAACCTTCGAGGCTCTGATGTTGAGTACAATCCTGTGTTTTTTGCATATGCCATCATAGGAATGAACACAATCAGGTACTTGTATTTCCTCCCCTCTTCTGTCCCCATGACCCATTCTTCTATGGGAGACTTGTTCTGGCATTACACTCTGTCTTTTAAAACCACCTACAGCCAGGCTGCTTTGATGTCCCTTCTGAGCACTTTTATCTTCAGCATTTATTGTTTTCCTCCCCTGATCAGAGCTAGGAAAGAGTATCCAAGAACTCTACTGTGCCCCTTAGCACCTCGACTGGCTCACTGGGTCATTTTGGCCAGGACGTCACAGGGGGATAATGTGCAGGGTGCCTGGAGCCCTGGGTGAACGCTGGTAACCTTCTCTCTGATGTCGTTGACGAGTTACCTCAAAACTGAAGGGACTGTACAGAAAGGTTTACATCCTGGTGTACACCATAAAGTTGACTTTCCTGACCCCTGGAATGAGCCTCAGCAAGAGCAAATGCTGTAGAGGCATCTTGAAGCTGGTAGCTAGATGCATCTGGAGTAATGCCTGGCTATTAGAGTACAGGTTGTGTATGAGTGTTCAGGTCGAGTTTTCCATTCAGTAAAAATAAGAAGAGTCTGGTGCTTCTAATGACAGTAAATTATTCTGCTTCCAGATGTTGTCTGAAATAGGGAATGAGCATTCTGTGCCTCTGTCGTGCTCTCCTGGTTGAAGTTATGGGACGCAACCATTTTAAATGCCATACAAACAAAAATGATATCAGCTCCTTTCCCCTCAGCAGGATGGTACATCTTAATTTCAAAGCAGGATTCAAGCTGCGTGAAGGCCAGTGGATAAAACAATCTAAAACAAATTATAAAGCATAAGTAACAATGTCTTTCTCAAACGTCACCAGAGCACTGTGGTTTCTTCCTTCCTGTGCTCCAACTGCTGCCAGATGTGGCCTCACGTATCTGTTTTTTCTGATTTGTTTCTCAGGCTCTTCGTTGATGGTGACCGGGTGATGGACCCAGCTGTGAGGGAACACTTGCAACTTGACTCCAACCTGGAGCCTGAGTTTAGAATCCAGGTGGTGCCCTATGGATCAATCCTGGCGGAGCTGCAGGCTGTTGGCGCAGGCCTCTCGCCCAAGGAGAAAGTCTGGCTGAGTGACAAAGCCAGCTACGCTCTGACTGAAGCCATCCCCAAGGTCTGTGGCACTTCTCTCCTTCCTCCTCAGTGTAGTTAGGAGTGGTTTTGATGAGGGCAGCTGCCCTTGGCTTCCCCGCACCGGGCGTGCTGCGGGCTGGTGCCCGTGCCATGATCCTGCAGTGCGGAGGTACCGAGGGGATGTTTAATCCGGGGGTAGCGCTCGCTGGAGCTGGCCTTCCAACTCACTAAGCTGCTTTAGCCGAAGAATTGTCAGCTTAAGAGAAGACAAGTACAGCGAGAGAGGGGGGAGAGAGGGAGCGGGGTGAACTTGGGTCACTGGGCCTGAGGCTGGAGCATCAGCCTCATGTGGAATAGCAGTAAGAGCTGCATTAGCAAATGCCCCCAGAAACTAAAGGAAAGTTGGGCAGCACTTTCCGGAGGGGTCACTTGACTTTGAGTGTCTGAAGGTGGCCCCCTTATTTGCTTCAGTAGCTTGAGGCCATGGAGCAATGTGTGACATCTCCTATTGAGTGTAGGAGGAGCAGGGTGACAGAGTGTCTCAGCAGGGAACACTGCGTATGCAGGTAGCCCGCAGGCCCTTGTTGTCCGTGCAGTAAGTGCCTCTGCTGAGGGACAGTCATAGCATCCGATTTTTTTTTCTGTGCAAGTTTACCCTTGTACTTGAACCTGGCTGTCTGGGGGTCCTGCAGTCCCTCACATGTGTTGTTAGAGAGGCAGGAGAGCAGACATGCAGTGAAGGACGCAGCAACAGTTGCAGGCAGATAAACTGACTTCCGTGCATCTTGTGTACATCTCTTGTTTGCTAGAGATGACCTTATCTCTGGAACTCCGTCCAGTTCAGAGACACTGGTAATAGGTACTATGAAAAACCTGATAACAGATACTGGGAATAAATACACTGCACAGTGATATGGCTGGGAATCAGGCACTAGTTGGCATTTTTCCAGATGTTACTTTGGAGGATCAGGCCCAGTGAAGAGGATATTGTGTTGTTGCCGAAGACTCCAACCAGGCTTCCTGCCTGAGAATTGCAGGGCTCAGATGAAGGGGGCATCCAAGAAAAAAAGTGAATTGTAAAAAGTGCTTGGCTGCAGGGCTGCATTTGTGCACAGCCAGGCTTCTGCTTCCTCCAGTGGGCAAACATTCCTTTTCTGCTTCACACACTGCTGCAGGTGTTCAGGGTACAGTGACAACATGGCAGCTTGTGGGGCTCGAAGGCCTTGTTCGTATATGGGAATTTTAAGAGACCTTGTGTCTTTCCCAACAGTCAGAGCCCCAAGAGCAGGGTGTGTGTGTGTGTGTGTTTGTGCCCCAGACAGCCACAGTCTGATATCAGCACAAATCTCTCAGCTCCTGTAACCAAAGTAGCATCAGGAAGGATAAATTGCTGCGGCTCTTCTGACCTCACAGTAAAATGCTCCTTGTTGTATCACAGTTCATTGACTCCAACTAAGCTGAGTTTGGATAAGCTGCTGTACCTGACATAATGCAGAGTGACCACGTTGAAAAGTGCAGCTGGTCTGGCCTAGCTAGAGGACTCTGAGTTTACCCCCTAGTGCTGGGAGTCTCTGCTGATGTTGAGTAATTTCTGTGCTAGGTCCCTCTGTAAACATGGGGAGAGGTCCTGCCCCAAGAAGCACTGAGTCAGAGAAGGCAAAAGGGGAAGAGCTGAATGGTTTTGGTTAAAACACATCCTGTGAGTCAGTGGCAGAGCCAGAATTCCTCAGGGTGCTGGGTGTCTTTGCCTGCTGTCCTCTGCTGCAGCTGAACTACTGGCCCAAGGTGCTTTAAAGAGCTCTGGTGATAGAAGTCTCTCTTGCCCATCTCCATCAAAGCCAAATATTGATGTTGGCAAAAGTCCAGTGCATTATTAAGGACAGACCTGCAAACCCTGTATGGATCTGCCTACAGCTGCACATAAAAGTGCTTTTCACAGATTGACAGGGCTCGACAGGGTAACAAACAATCCAGTCTAATACAGAATCTGCTTGTGAGCAGTTCAGCCCTGACTGATGGTTTCCTGTTCCTTTTCTGTACTTCAGTTTCTTCATGATACAGTGTAGTTGTCCTGCTATTTTTAAGAATCTGGAAACTAAATTTTTAGGACCTGTGAAAAATGGGTTTTGGGCTTGTATAGGAGCCTTTCCAGCCCACAGCATGTGATGGGTTAAGCAGAGAACTGGAGCAGAAGGTCTCACCTTTACTCCTCCTTCTGCAGACTGTGATGAAGCTTGGGCAAGTTACTGCAGATGTTCGAACCAGTTACTGCAGTCACTTCGAACCAGCCAAGCATTCCCACTAAGACAGTTGCAGTTGACATCTAGGGGAACGCGCGGTGTTAAGGGATCAGTTACTGGTGCCTAATGCAAAGCCTTCCCATCGCAGGAAAAGCTTTTCTCAAACTCCTCATGTAAGCCTCTTTTGAGGAGGGCAGATTGCAGACCTCAGCTTTGCACTGGCCATTCATGGTTTCGGTGACTCTTGGTGTCTTTGGCAGAGCTGCCCCTCGCTAGGGGTGTGAGTGCTCCATGCTGAAGGAGCCAAGGCCTTGGGGCCCAAATGGCCTCCAGGTTTGAGGCCAGTGCTTGGTACTTGGGCCTGTTGCTGCCTGGGGGTAACATTAAGGTAACAACTCAAGGTGACTTCTTAGGTTTTGTTTCCACATCCTGAATTTTACTGAGGATTTAGTATTTCTAGCTGGCTGTTTCTGGACCTTTGTATGTGCTTCGCCAAGAGGAAACCCACAGCTTGGACACTGATATGATATTCAGGCTGTTCAGATGGTGACCCTGCTTCGTACCGTGCTATTGGCCCTCCTCGTCCCTGAATTCTTTTTGACTCTGTCTTCTACAGGCAGGAATTACTTGTCTATTCCCCAGTGTGTTTATAGCCGCTGGTAACCAGTATCCCACAGTCCTGAAGGTTGAGAGAGGCTGCTGAAGTACAAATTGTGGCCAGGCTGGATTATTAAATTTGTAGATTACGTTGTTTGACTAATCCACGTGTAATCTCTGTCCTTCTGCTGCAGGCTTACCGATACCTCACCCCATATACCCCCATCTGCATCGCCAAAGCTGTGAAGAACGCGGCGGAAACAGACGGCATGAGAAGAGCCCACGTAAGGACAGCCTCGAAAGCCTCCTTTTGCATGGCAAGAGGTTTGCTTTACACCCAGAGAGAGAGATTACTTTTTCCTTTAAGTTTTAGTGTTTTGGATTAGAAAGCAAATATTTGGATGGCAGGGTAAAAATGGTTTTGCCTTTTTTAGCCTTCTGTTGAGCGTCTACTGTTGATGAAGCAGGGTTTTTTGCTTGTTCAGCACTCCCTTGGAGTGAAGAACAACACACGTAATAGTGAGTGATAACACTGGCTCTGGGGACTGCCCAGACTTGGAAGTGTTAGAGTGTGAGCACTTAAAGGGATGTTCTCTCACTTTGCCAAGTGCTATTCTCTATCTCTGTGCCGTCTTTAAATTGTTCTCACCAAAATAAACACAGAAAGAACATAGAGAAGCACTTTGACACATAATGCAGAACACAGGCCGAGATCTTCAGAAGCAGCCAGTGTCCTCAGAGTGCTCTGTTTTTTCACCATCATCATGACACTCTGAAACTGGTGCTGATCTCCCAGAAAAGTTGCACACTTCCTGGAAAAGAAGCCTGTGCATCAGGTTTATGGAGGGGCTAAAAGCTTCTCTTATTTCCTGTTAATTTTCAAGCAGCAGGTTTCACAACGCAAGAAAGGTGCCAGGTAGAGCAGGACTGGCAATTCTGGACTTGGGCTCTGCTACTTTTTAATTCATTGCTTTTCTTTCTATCAGTTATGGAGGAGTAAAAATACTTGTACTGAGCACAGACACTCTTTTTTGGTCACCTGTAGGAAGAGCTGTGCCTCGCTCTTGTATGTTTGTCTCTTGCCCTTTGCTCTTTGGGGAGCTAGAAAAAGAAGGGCGGTGTCTGGGTGAAGTACGTGGCCGTGAGGATAGCAGGGATAGCAGACCCTGCTAGAGACCATGTGGTGCTTCTGAGCTCACGGCTTGGAGGACACGTTCATTCCCTTGTCACAGGCTGTGTCGGCATCTCCCATGATCTTCTGTGTTGAAGCACAAGAAACTGGAGCCATGAGCCGTGCCAATGTTCTCTGAGGACTTGGTGGTCCTTTGTGATAAGTGCCAGCAGGAAACCTTCACTAGCATTTACTGACTTGCTCTGATAAATTTCCAGTGCTTGCATTAATTACAAGATGCAGGATCTGGAATGACCTTTTCTGTCACTTAGTTTGTCTCTCCGAAGCTTGTGGATCTAATTGCTTTGCATTAGAAGCAGTATTTTTACTGAGGCTTCATTTGTTCTTAACTTTCTTTCTATGCCAATTTTTACAGATTAAAGATGCTGTTGCCCTGTGTGAACTCTTTAACTGGCTGGAGAAGGAGGTAGTGCATCTCTTTATTTATTTTGCCCTGGAGACTTTATTGCTAAGTAAAATTCTCTATTAGCACAAACATTTTGGTATTTTTATGGTGCCCTTGCTAAGGTAGGGGAATATCGTTGTTTTTTTGCTTGGTTGGTGTGGAGGATTTTGATTGTTCTTCCATCTAAAGCTGAGTTAGTTTCTCTGAAAACACATTAATGCTTATTTTGCACAGAGCAGAACAAGAGCAGCTGAGGAACAACCTGAATAGACTTAATATCATCTTGTGCTGGTTTGATAGTATGCATCATGAAATAATGTCCAGTTCAGTGCATTATTACAGGAGCATTTTCAGGATAATCGGTGTTGTCCAGCAATGTGGACAGATTTGGTGTTTATGAATGCAGACATGCAGTCAGTGGAGATGGAATAAGTCAAACTGTTCATTTCCCCTGGGTTAGGAGTGCACAGTGCCTAAGTACATGTTGCACAGTGCCTAAGCTGTGTTCCTTCTGTGCTACTGAATGTCTGAGGCCATTGACTTATGAAGAAGCTTTGGTGAATTCCAGGTGGTGCTTTTCTACCTGAGTACTTCAAGAAATCTGGTGTGCTAATTCAGCCCAAATCTGTCCCCTAGGTTCCAAAGGGAACAGTGACAGAAATAATTGCTGCAGACAAAGCAGAGGAGTTTCGCAGGTACAAAAATATCCCATGTAAGGGAGTGGCATTTTGGATGGGCATTTCTGTGTGGGATTTTTATCCTCTGCTTTTATTTTACTCTTTAGAAATCCGGCTCACTGTCAGATGTATTTTACCTGAGGACAAACCGTTACTGCAGGATTTTTTTGAACACTTGAAAGAGTTGAGGAAGAATTGGGTTCCTTGGGAGGTACAGGTCCCAGCCCATTGGATCCTACCTGCTTTCCTTTTGAAATAGCATTAAGGAGTGCTGGGGGTTAGGGCAGCTGGAGAATTGCTTTCTTGCCATGGAGGATTTAAATTTCCCCTCCTCTGATGGACAGTGAGCATTATTTGTATTGAGATATTCCATGTACGCCTCAGGTCCTCTAAAAATGCCTATGAATAAATAAATTAATAAGAAACTGTTCAGGACATCTTTTCTCTCGATAGGCTGGGTGGTGAGCGTGATACTGGTAAGGAGTCGATAGAGATGGAAAACAAATTTTCATGTTATTTGGGAAGATCTGCACAATTCTCCTGCACAGGAGCTGCTTGTCCAAATGGCTTTCAGGGCTAGGGGGAGGCTAAGGTGAAGTGGAGAATGAAGATAAGCTGTAATATTTGCCAGGGCTCCTCTCTTGCTTGACATGTGCTGGGGTGCCCCGGGTGGCTGATTTGCTCCTCACTTATGCTGTAGTGATCATGGTCTCTTTTTTCAGCCAACAGAAGGACTTTGTTGAATTGAGTTTTGCTACCATTTCAAGCACCGGTCCAAATGGAGCCATCATTCACTACAAGTAAGAGGAACAACTTCTTTTGTCCTTCAGCAGGCATGCCTAGAATGAGTTCTGTAGCTTCTCTGGAGTCATGGCAGGGTACTCCACAGAGGCACAGTTCTTGTCAGTTGGCATCTTGCCTTATTCCTACATTCCTAGCTTCCATGCTCACTAGATTTAGAACAAGCAAACAAAAATTGCTCTGACAGCAACGCACTTATGATGCTGGTCTTGTTCTCTGTCCTTTGAGGCTGTTGAGGGACCCTGTGCCCCAAGTGGTGACTGACTGAGCTCAAAGCAATTGAGAGTATAAGGTAACATACACTTTGGAGCAAACTTAATCCCTGGCCCAGCTCAGTTGAAAACCTTTTATGTGCAGAAGGAGATTCTTTGTTTGCTGCATCCACTACATGCTGGCTAGCAGATCTCAAGGTGGTTTTGAAAATCAAGAGGGATGCATGACTAGTCAGGGCATGAAGAAGGGCTATCTTGATGGAAGAAGGCTAGCAAGGCTAAGGTAAAGTGCAAGCTGCACTGGAAAATGTCCAGGAACAGGTTCTCAGGGTTTTCCTGGAAGAAAAATAACTATTCTCTGCACCTAAGTTCTACTTACTGTAGACAAATGTGCTCCTCACCATGAGCCCTGGCTCAGCATATGTGGGACTTCATCACTGCTACAAGAAATCAAAGCTAACACATCCAAGCTTGCAATTAGTGTGGGTTTTTGGACCACAGACTTGGGCTGGGGGCCTTAAAACTATGGAACAAACAACTCTGTGTTAATTAAACAGGCCAGTTCCTGAGACCAACAGAACCCTGTCTGTGAACGAGATCTACCTCCTGGACTCTGGAGCACAGTACAAGTGAGTGGGATAAAGGGTGCTGAAAATGCTGTGTTTTCCACTCCTAGCGACTGCCCTGCAGGGTCAGTCATCGCTCGGGCAAGCACAGCAACGTGCAGAGGTGTCTGGGCAGTTTTATGAGGGCCTTTTCACAGAGAACCTGCCTGTTCTCTGTCCTCTGAAAGGTGTTTGTGAGATTCTGGATATAGCTGTTGGAAGAACCTGGATAGGGCTCCTTGAGCACTGTGGAGGTCTAGCTGGATGATTTGGCCTCAGTTGTCGGCTCTCTGTACTAGAGGTGGCACCTCAGAGCTTTGTGCTGAAATGGGTTGGTGGTTCTCACAGACACATGGAACTGGCCAGGCCCTTGCTACTGGAGGTGCCAGGGTGTGCAGAGGTGGGTTTCTGCCTTGCACATTTTGCAGCAGAAGCACCGCACGGCTGATTGCTGGCAGCAGGCTCTGAGCGAGGTTCAGGGCAGCTAACAAGCCTTCTCTGGAGTAGAGAGCAGGATCTAAAAGTGCAGCTCTTCTCAAGTCCCACACCAGTGTTGCCCATACACATGCTCTGATCGAGGTGGGGCTGTTTCTGACCATTGCAGCTTTGTTCATGGGTGTTAGAGCTGCAGGCCTGGCTGTCCTGGCATAGCCTGTCTACACAGCAGTGTCTGCAGCTGACTAAGGTGCCAATTTGACCAATTTTTGAGGCCAGAGGAAGGTGGAGCACAGCCCCAGGGGACAGCCCTGTCCTGTGGCATGCTTTCTGTTTCCAGGGAGGATTTCTCATCCCAGTGGCCTCTTCGGTCTCAGGTGTGTTTTGGGAAAGGCAATATGTCTTTTGGCTTTGCTCAGTCAGCACTTTGACTGCACTGTTCAGTGGCCTCTGTCTCGCTGTTTGCTGTGGAGTTCCCACTCCACTGAAGAGGAAAGAAGTGATGTTTTCAACCAATGTAAGTAGATCAGGAATGACTGCTCAGAAAAATGCAGGGTGGACCTGACTGCCTCTTTGAGACAAGCTTTGTCTTTAGAGCTGTGCTTTATTGTGTCAGTCAGGAAGAGCTTTGAAGAGGAACCCTGCAAACATCCTTTGATAAGGGTTTTTACAAGGAGATCTTTTATTCCCCTTCTGATGGCCTAATTAACAGTTTCCTTAGTGTCACCATGAAAAGCAACCCCTTGAATAACATAAGCTGGACATCAATGGCATTTTATTGCAGCTTTGACAGGGATGCTCAGCTTGTCACTGCTGAGAAGTTAAACTGGGAGTTCTTTGTGACTGGTGTGTGGGCTGGGGAAAAGTGTAGGCCCAGCAATGACTCTTTCAAAGGAAGCTTATTATTTCAAGCCTCTCTGTTTTTGGCACCAGGCATGAAATTATATATATATGAAGTATATAGATATATTCTAAAAAGTGTATTTCATATATATTTTAAACTAGTAAAGAATCTTTTAATGCAAGTAGACTAAACTTGATCTTTGTCATCTTCTCTATGAGCAATGCCTGTTGCTGTTCAAGTTAGCTTCACTTTGACATGCAGTCTAGATTCTAATTTGAGAAGAGCTGTGAAGAGTCTTATGGTTAAAAGTTAACATTTTGAATTGTAAATCATTATGGCTACATATGGGAAGTGTGTTCAGGGTTTTTTAGGATTAGAAACTTTTTAGGATTGCAAACTGTTATAAGTATGTAGCACAGCAGAGAATTTAACTTAGTGTGGTTGTTTTTTTGTGGTGTGACTGACTTTCTTTGCACTCTTTCACTCCTTTTTCTTTTTTCCTCCCCTCCTCATTTTGTATCCTGCATCTTTGCTTCTCATTGGAAGAGATGGCACAACAGATGTGACTAGGACAATGCATTTTGGTACCCCATCACCCTATGAAAAGGTAACTTGGCATCTCAATGTGTTTTCTGATCTGACCCTTGTTACTAGAGATACTTGAACAAACAGTGTGGTGCTTAAAAAAATAATGATGCTCATACTGCTTTGTAGTCAAAGAGATCTATTTAGTATCACTTATTTAGTAATAAGACAAGTGACTTTATAGGACTAAAAAGGAAGCTGTCAGACTTCAAATTTCCAAAATATAAGCCAAGTGAATTAAGAATGATACTTCCCTATTGTGAGATGCCCACTTCTCACCTGGAAAGTGTCATATCTTCTCCAAGAAATAATAAAACCAGCAGGCTGAAGATGCACATTATTGACTTGTCCAACTTGGGAGTTAATTTATTATAAAATTCCTTGTTTAGCACAAGGTTGTAGTAGTGATTTGCATCTAGCTCACTGTGCCAGTCTCAAACTGCTATAAGAATGTCCATGTTGGGAATTGAGCAATGTAATTTTGTTTACATAAAATCACTTCTTTAATTAAAACTTGTTTCATCATTAGTTCATCCAGTGATGAAAAATATCCCGCAGGGTATAACTACAGCCACAAAGAAAATCATTTGGGTCAAGTGAATATCCTGTTGCTACACCTGCAGCCTGAGTTAGTCACATGCACCCCGTGAACAGCTGATGAAGATCCTTACAGTAATTTAAACTTTCTGCTTTGCTTTGGCACTGCCTGTCACAGGAGAACATGAGCAAATCTCGCAAGATTCACCACAGTTTGCTGCAAAACGCAGCCTTGCTTTCCATTTCTGGGGAGGGCGATGTTTTTGTTCCCCTTGTTTACTCTTTGCACATATTGCCTTGACAGGAATGCTTCACATATGTCCTGAAGGGACATATAGCTGTGAGTGCGGCCATCTTCCCAAATGGAACCAAAGGTAGGCTGGCGGGATGGAGGTTTTGGGGTGTTTTGAGACAACACTGACCTGAAGAACCATGAAATGGGTCTGGGAACAGTGTTATGGTTGACAAGTGTGGATGTGTTTTAGGTGGTTGTTTTAGCTCTGCATGTTCTTCTCTGTCACTACATTTTGGATTCAGCATTACTGATCCCCTTTCTCTTAGTAGCAACCAATGTTGAAACTTCTAAGGAAGGAATTGACAGGTTTTCAGAGCCATCCACTTCTAGATAGGCAGTGACTTTCACCACTTGCACTCCAACACAGCCCTGGCTTTCTTGTGCTTTGAGGTTGTCTTTATACTTTATTCATGGATCTAGTAAAGGAAGAGGTTGCTTTCCAACTCTGTAAGGACTGGCTATTTCTCTTCCAGTTAATATGCAGTCTCTTTTCTCAGCAAGTGGCCTGGGAATATGGCACTCAGGAGCTGTTTTGATTCTGGGCAGGAGAAGCTGTGGTTTGTTTTCACCAGGGTGAATTAGTTGTAGAACTATTTTCTCCCTGGTCAGGGGAGAGCTGCCCCCAACTTGCATTCTGTCATAGGTGAGGACAAAGCAGTTGAGTAGAGAGAAGCGCAAATGGAAACTGTGGGGTGCCTGAAATTGCAGATATGGGCCCAGTGTTCACATGCAAATTCTCTGCATTCAGGTGGAAACAACCTGAAATAATTGTATATCTCAGCTTGAAGTCTTTCTGGTTAGTTCACCAGATGCAATTGCTAGATCTTCCACTTTGAGTTTACCATTAAGAAAGGTCCTGGATTCTCTCTGGGCATCTGCCCTAGATGGTCTCCTGACAACCCCCTTGGATTACGCAGTAATGTGATGTTTCTGATGCAGACCGTGTCCTGAAGAGCTGCCTAATGGAGAGGGGTTCTCTGGTTAGAATATGCTTGCATGCCAGGCTCGCTAAACATGGCAGTGTCTCTCCTGTCCTTTGTAACAGACCAATGACTTTATTTTTTTCATGTTCTCCACGGCTGAGCCCTCAGTATGATTATCAGTAGCTCTGGGGAAGCCTGAGTTGATCAAGTTCTCTCCACACCCATCTCTCCTCCTGTAGGTCACCTCCTAGACTCCTTTGCCCGCTCCGCGTTGTGGGACTGCGGCTTGGATTACCTGCACGGGACGGGGCACGGCGTCGGCTCCTTCCTGAACGTGCACGAGGGTCCCTGCGGCATCAGCTACAAGACCTTTGCGGACGAGCCCCTGGAGGCCGGCATGGTCCTCTCTGATGGTACTGGTGACCCTGGCTGTTGGGGAGGGGAGCACGCCCGTCACAGGCCCGGAGCCTGCTCTGCAGTTTGTCACCTTAATTGTCATTTAAGCTCTCTAGGGAACGACCTGGTGTTAGGTTGCCTACCTCCCATAAATCACCTTTGCAGTCAGGTGCTGCAGACCCGTTCCCTGCTCTTTGCAGAGCCAGGGCAGCAGAGCTGTGCTGCTGGTTAGCTGGCTCTGCCATGCAGCCTCCTCTTCTGCAGTGCAAGAACTGGCTGTGGTTCAAGGGGGGCTCTAGGCTCTCAGGAGCTAATCCTGTCTTTGCTGTGGGCTGTTTGAGGCAGCTGTTAAATAACTCCATGCCTTATTTCTCCAGCAGTACATTAACTACCTAGTGAGGCTTGCTGAGAGACTTAGATTCCTTCAGGGCAGCAAAGTCCTTTCAGTGAGAAAAGCTAGAAGCACCTTCTAAAATAACTGTTTTGGAGAACTTCCTCTCAAAGAGATTTTTTTTTCTGATTTTTTTTTTGGGGGGGGGGTACTGTAAATGCATAAACTGTCCTTTCCCTTGACTTAGGTTCTGTGGGCTTGAGGGCTGTCTGGTTTCTCCTCTCATTGAGGCATTTTGTTGTCGCCTTGCTCAAGGCTTTTGTGCAGATTAAGTAGAATCAGAAGTTTGTTTGCCTCTCTGGATGCTTGATGTCAGGATTGTTTAGCAACCACAGTGGACAAAAGCATTGAAGAGGAAGTTAGCCCATAGGGAATAAATATTTACACGGTTTCTGAGTGGCTTAGATGATTATTGTCTGTTTCTGTAGAGCCTGGGTATTATGAAGATGGGTCCTTTGGTATCAGAATAGAAAATGTTGTCCTTGTGATCCCGGCTGAAACCAAGGTAAGTGACCTGCTCAAGTTGCACTTGTCTGCATGTGTCGCTGGCTGTAAGTCTTAAAGTACTGAAGCTTGAGAGGAGGCCATGCTGCAGACATGAAACACTGCTCATTGCTCTCACAAAACCCTGCTGTGGCAAAGACTGATTCTGACTCTCTCCTATTAACAGAGACTTTGAAGACAGTTCTACCTCTGCAGAGTTTTCATAGGTTGAGATCTTTGAGTTGCTTTAAAAAGTTTTCCTTCAAAGACAAGAATTGTCTTTAACACAATATTGAAGCATTGCTGTAGAGCATCTGCTCAACTTTGGGAGCCCCTGGTGGCAGTAGAACCACCATCAAAGCATGGTTTTGTCATGCTAAATGCAAGTCTGGCTGGGTTATGCTTTTAGGAATGTGAAGCTGGAAATGACCATATGGTCATCAAGCCCAATCCCTTCAGGTTGTGACATGTGAAGTGATCTTATAAAAATGGCTACTGATGGAAATGCCTCTGACTTATATTGCCTGAAATATCTAGGAAAAAAAAAGTAAGAGCAAGTATGATCTAGCAAGGGTGGTTGCTAAGAGTAAACAATCCCCTTTGTCTTTTTGCTGCAGTATAATTTCAAAAACAGAGGAAGTCTGACTTTTGAACCCTTAACCCTGGTTCCAATCCAGACAAAAATGATTGATGTAAACTTGCTGACCCAAAAAGAGGTAAGAGAAGCAGTAGGTTTGCATTCACTTTGTTAAATAAAACAAAATGAGCTCATGCTAGTTTATGGCAACAACTGACCTCTGCTCCAGTTGGCAAACTGGGAGATCAACCCTAAGCACTCAGTCTTAAATTTGGCCCAGTTTTGGGTTGGGAGGGTGGATACCAGTGGAACATCTTGATCTTGTTTTCCCTCACTTTGTTTCAACCAGTGCTCCTGTGAATGATGATCCTATTTGCATTTCCTTTTCTGAATGGTACTGTGAGGAGTACAAGGATCCACCTTAAGCTTACCTGTTTGGATCAGGAGGGCAACTTGTCTCTCAGGCCTGCATTGTTCAGAGCTACAAATGTGCAAAGCTGTTACTAGAACATGGAAGGTAGTTATTCTGGCTTGCTGCAGGCAGTTACTTGCAAAGAATGCACCTTGGTGAACCTTAACTCCCCTGAAAAAAACAGGACTAATTGCTTCAGTTCCTACCCCATCAAATTTACGCGTCCCGGGATCAGAAGCCTCTCTTTAGGGCAAGAGCTTATCCCAAAAGCCAAACAGCCCAGTTGCAAAGAGGTTAATGGCATCTGAAGTCTTTGGCTCTTTGTGAAAGCCAAAGACTTTGCTGTGTCTGTAACCTGCAAAGCCACTAACTCTTCTTACTCGTACTCCGTGTTT